TGGGAGAATTCAGAGTGTAAAGGAGCCATGCAAGACTTGGGGGTTTCCCCCCTCGCCAGCAGCTTGGTGCTCCTGGAAGCCCTGGGTGCAGCCTCGAGCACCCCCCCCACCGCCTGCGTCCAGCACCATAGCCTGCCTTGTCGGGCAGCCCGGCGTTCGGCAAGGGGTAGATGGCATCCTGAGGAGCGGGAGGGTGAGCCGCGGCCCGGAGGGCTGACAGGTCTGCGGCCGCCCTGCCTCAGCTCACCTCCCATTTCTCTTCTCCTCAGTGCTCGCAAACAAAAGGAGTCTGTCTGAAAGCCTGCCTTGCGCCCGGCGCTGCGCAATTGCTGACTTGCTCTGCAGGCTTTATGGTGCTTTTGAGATCTGTTAGCTTAACGAGTAACTTCCAAAATATTTAGGGATGAGAGAAGTGTGGTTTTACAGGAATGCGAACTAACTGGAAACACGAGTGGTTGTCGCTACAGGAACAAAGCTGGTTAACTAGTACACAAAGCTCTTCAAAGGTCACGGGGATCTCCGAGAGGCAAAACTTCAATGATAGCATTTCGAGTCATGAATTTATAGCTGATTAATCATTATGATACTTGAAAGGTGCTGTCTAACTGTCTTCTGGGCATCTGGGAAAGCAAAGGTTATGCAAGTAATTGGAAATACTGTGTTGTGAGCTGCAGGTTCTTCTCCCTTGGATGGGTTTGTGCCACCTTTGACAAAGGAGAGTACCAGTACTCGCTATTGCATAATTGTGCCTGATTACCTAGAAACGGGCTGAATGTCTTCAGCTAGATCCCAGACTCTTCTTAGGCCAAGCAGTGACTAAGTCTGGTGGACCTGAGGGGCTGGCGTTTAAGACTGAGCAATTCCCAGCATTACGACATGCTTGAAGTGCTCCCGCTCAAGCAGGAGAATCGCTGCATGGTCGGTAAATGAGAACGCTGGGTTCCTCCAAGAGAAGCTGTTCGTGTCTTTCCTATACTTCGTTTCCTCTACAGCAGGCCCTGCTTCTCTTGAAGGATGCGTCCTTCCCTCCTGCAGCTTTCGTGCCCTACCCATCGCTTCAAGCAGGAGAGGGACAATGCATCTGAGGCTCAGGAAAACAGTGGCAAGCCTGGGGTGAGGAGAACAGACTGGGTGGTACGAGAAACAATGTTCAGCCCCTCTACCGTCAGGTTAGGGGGATGAATGTTTGCGGGTAAGGGCTGGTCCTTAAAGCTAAGGCAACAAAAATGCCTTCACCAGCTCACGAACCCTGCCACGGCTGCCTGGAGGTTTCTGGGTGTGGAAGTGCAGGTCCTGGCGTGTGTGTCGAGGGGACAGGGAAGCTGTCACGGGGAGATGGATGGGAGCAGACATGCTCAGGCATGGGCGTGCATTGCTCAGCTGTCCGAGCAGCACCGAGACGTGGCTTCCTCATGTACTGAAACACACCTTTCTTCATTCTCTTTCCCCATGCCATGATCTTATTTGTTTTCTTAGTTTTTTTAACTTCCAATATTTCTCACAGGGCAAGAGAGCTTCCATACTGTCCCCTGTCGGGAGCTCTTAAATAATGCAACCATTGAGTCAGAATTTAGTAATGAAATTCATAACCTGAGTTTTCCATGGCAGCATTAAGTGTGACACAGATTCATCACTGGGGTATCATCATTAAAAGGCAGTGGAATTGCATGGGGATTGATGTGATTATGTGCATGTAAAGATCAGGATACAAAAAGGTGTGATTTATGTAATATAGGCACAAGCTGTAATCCAAAACCCTTCCCACATGCGATGTGACAGTTCCTACTCCCAGAGCAGTGATGGCTTTTAAATTTACTGGGTAAATGTGTGTGTTTATATGTTTTTATTTAACTCTTTTAAACATAGTGTTCTCTGAATCTCTTTCTCACTTTTTTTTTTCGTTGAATTACGATTGTAGTTGAATCTGCATAATAGTTCAACGTCATTGAAATTCTTTATATTTTCGGAGCCTGGGTGGTATATGTCAGCACTTTATTGTGTTATCTTACAGGGAAATATAGAAACACTGCTGTGTCTGATGCAGCCTTAGCGAAGACGAAAGTAGGGAATGTAAAAAGTATACATAAAGCAAGAAGATAAATGTTATTTGGGTTTTATCGTTATTACAAAGGCTGTCAGAATTGTAGAAAAAAGAGAACAATGAACAAAAACTGTTCTTAGTTTTAAGGATGTGTTTATTCTCCCCTTCCTACACTTCTGTGATTCGCACCTGAAAAAAAAAGAGGACAGATCTGGGCCAGTTTGGCCATGTGGGCTGACCAGCAGCAGTGTCTCTGGTGGCCTTTGGAGGGGAAGGGACCTCAGGTACAGCTGCGGAGGGAGCTGTGCCTGGGTAGCGCGGGAGCAGTGGCGCGGTTCCTGCTGGAGTTATCTCCTGGTCGCTGGCAGCTCTTGGCAGCTGCTCCAAAGCCTGGTCTAAATAACGTGTTTGTCTGCCACGAGGAGTTCAAAGCTGTTAAGATAAGTAGTTGCTGAGGCCACCTGTTTGGCAAATTTGTCAATCAGCTCGTAGAGCTATAAGTAAATGGGGCCTTATTACAAAGGCTTATTGCTTTTTGCGGTTGTGTAGGAGTTTACATAATTTTCTAAGGACCTCTTTTATCTCCCAAGTACAGCAGCGATTAGGAATTGCTGCTGGAGTGTGGTGGCAGTTCGGAGCGCTCGAGGCAGATGTGTTGGTCCTGGATGTTTTTTCAGTGCAAGAGACCGTACTTGTGCTCTGGCCTGGGTTGCAGCACTGAACCTTCACAAGAAGGTACCTTTTCTGTCTGCCTTTCTTGGCCTCCTTTAGGTCTCTGTTACTCCAGACTCTAGAATTGATGGTGTTCGAGGTTAGGCTTTAATCCGATGGGGTGCTCAGCGTCCCAGCCCTGATCCAGCAAAGCACATAAATGACTTCAGTGCGGGCCTGTTCACGCAGTTAAAGTCAAGTTCATCCTTAAAATATCTGGTGGATCTGGGTCAGAGTCCTCTCAGTTGCAAAGTGAAACCTTTTGTGAGAAAACCAGAACCGTTCGCCACACGGAATATGTGCCTGATCACCTCGTAAAGGAGCAACAATATGCGCTGCATCTACCCCTTGTTTTCTATTACATATATTACATGGTTTTTGTAGATGCCCCCGACTCTGCTGCCTTCCCACCCCACCATTTTCCCATGTCACTCTTCATTTTCTCTCAGAAATGACACCTAGAGGAAAATGAATCCGACTGCGTGTCACTTGTTCTTGAACAGATGCTGTAGGTGAGACTGGATCGAAAGCTCCTCGTCCTGCTGA